CTCCCCCCTTCCCTCCCGCCGTATGTGCATTAGGAGGACCCAACATTTCGTTGCAGCTGGATGTAAGATGCGTATTCAAAAAACATTGTGCGTCCCTCACGCATCGGGCGTTGTACTTACCCGCTGTCTATACCCATTTGTTTCTTTTTATTTTTGTAATTTCGTTTGTGCCGGTGGCGAAAACGCGCGGCAAAATTAATGAATTACTAAGTATGTAATTTCATATTAAATTTCTTTATATGTTTGTAACCGGAAGAAGTGTGAGTGCATGAATTTTTTCTGATGTAATTTTGGTTAATACCTCAAACGCGAAATTTGCCCCTATTTTTAAACCAGATGTTGATATGTTTCCGAGGGGTCCCCCACTTCCAAAATAGGTGTACAACGAGTTGCCGAGTTGGCGAGTTGCCGCGAGTAGGCCGCGAGTTAGGATCAATTTCTAGAGAGTTTTGCGCGATTTTGGCGCGAGTTTTCGCGATTTTCACGCGAGTTTTCGCGAGTTATCGTGAGTTTTCGCGAGTTGTCTCGAGTTGAACGCGAGTTGGGCGCGAGTTGGGCGCAGCCAAGTGTACAACGAGTTGACGAGTGGAGGACCCCTCGTATGTTTCACGTTCATTTTATTTTTATTATTCATCAGTGCAACACCGCTGAAACAAACCAAATAAAGTCCACATTTTTATTCTAATTACATTTTATCTTTTTCGTGACTGTTAACAAAGTAACCCTTGTTGCATTTATTCACACGACAAATGTTCCTGGAGGTGTACTAACAAATTACAACTGTCTAAAAATAGGCGTCCGCACTCGGTACACCTATAAGGTCTTTCTAGCTCGTCGGAGCGGGCCTCTAACCGCACACTGTCACCACGCGAACAGTTCTTGCCACGGTCTGCACGCCGCTTGTCTGCCGGATTCTCAGCTCCCGAGTGGGTTCGCAGATGCTTGCGTAGTTTTCCGCTGGTCGCGAATTTCTTGCCGCACATGGTGCACTCGTAGGGCCTCTCTCCCGTGTGGGTGCGTGAGTGTACATTCCGTTCGCCGCTGTCCACAAATTTCTTGCCACACATAGTGCACTCGTAGGGCTTCTCTCCCGTGTGGTGGCGGCGGAGGTGCGGTCGCAACTCAGAAGAACGCGAGAATTTCTCTCGACAGACAGAACACTGGAACGGCTTCTCCCCCGTGTGCCTTCGAAAGTGTGAACGCAAGTCTGCGTTCGTCCTAAATTCCCGCTGGCAAACCGTACACTGAACTTGGTTGCCTGTGCAGTCTGAGTGGAGTCGGCGAATGTGACTCTTCAGGGACGAAGAATGCGCTAATGTTTTGTTGCAAACAGAACACTCGACAGGTTTCCTTTCGGCGTGGGTTCGGAGATGTGTATGGAGATTCGATGAGCTCCTAAACTTCTTGTTGCACTCGAAACACTCGAATGGCATCTCCCCAGTGTGGGTTCGGAGATGAATTTTAAGTATCTCACTGCCAGCGAATTTCTTGTTGCATACACCGCACTCGAAGGGCTTTTCTCCCGTGTGGCTGCGCATGTGACTACTCAGATACTTTCTAAGCTTAAATTTCTTGCTGCAAACAAGGCATTCGTGTTCCTTAAATCCCCTTTGGTGGAGGAGAAGGTGAGTGTGTAGATTGCTAGATCTCGCAAACTTCCTGTCGCACATCGTGCACGCATGCGGCTTCTCTCCCGTGTGAACACGTTCATGGTTTCGAAGATGTTCACCCCTGTTAAAACTCTTGCTGCATACACCGCACTGAAATGGCTTTTCTCCCGTGTGGGTTCGGAGATGACCTCGCAATGCCCCACTTTCACTAAATTTCCTGTTGCACAGAGAGCACTCGAAGGGCTTTGCTCCTGTGTGGGTTTTCAGGTGTTTGCGCAGGTATTCAGCCACCAGGAATTTCTTGTCGCACACCGTACACCCAAAGGTCTTCTCCCCGGTGTGGGAGCGGAGGTGCGCCTTGAGATTTCCACTCGAGGTGCACCTGTAGTCGCACACGTCGCACCCGTAAGGCTTCTCTCCGGTGTGGGTCCGGCTGTGGCTAACCAGTCCTTTTTTGTCAGCAAATTTTTTGCCGCACACGGCACATTCAGCGGTCTTTTCTCCTGTGTGTGTGCGCACATGTCTTTGGAGATCACCGCTTTGCGCAAACTTCCTCTCACACACTGTGCACTCGAAAGGTTTCTCCCCCGTGTGGGTTCTGAGATGTACTTTCCGATTGTGACTGTTTGCGAATTTCTTGTTGCAAACATTACATTCATACGGCTTCTCTCCTGTGTGGATGCGCATGTGCATACGAAGCTCACTGCTACTCTGAAGTTTCCTGTTGCATACAGAGCATTCGTATTGAGACTCCTGTTGTTCTCCCCCACCATGGTGAGCACGCAGACGGCCACGTCGCGCAAACTTCTTGTCACACAAAGCACCTGCACCGCGCTCCCTTCTTTCACCTGTGTGGGTTCGCAGGTGTGATCGCAGTGCACCACTTGATCTACATTTCCTGTCGCACAGAGAGCACTCGTAGGGCTTTTCTCCTGTGTGAGTTTTGAGATGTTCGCGCAGGCCTCCATTCTGCGAGAATTTCTTGTCGCACAGCGTACACCCAAATGGCTTCTCCCCGGTGTGGGTGCGGAGGTGTACGTTGAGAGTTCCACTCGTGGCGCTCCTGTAGTCGCACACGTTGCACCCGTAAGGCTTCTCTCCGGTGTGGGTCCGGCTGTGGACTTCCAGATGATGTTTTTCAAAAAATCTCTTGCGGCACACGGTGCACTCGTAGGCTCGCCCTCCTCCCGAGTGAATGCGCACGACATGTCTCTCCAGGTAAGAGTGGTCCGGAAACTTCTCATCGCACTCAGAGCATTCGTAGGGCTTCTCCCCTGTATGCTGGATTCGGATGTGCACTCGCCGACTGGCATTCGTCGCACATTTCTTGTTGCAAAAATGACACTCGAGTTCGAACGCCTCTTCTGTGCGCCTTTTCAAATTGGTGGCGGGTTTGTGTGGCACAACGTCATCATCGCCTTGCATCAACATGGCGATAAGCGGTAAATGCAGTTTCTGAAAAACGTAAACAGACACATTATTAATTTGCTTTTCTTTGTTACACTTGCAATGCAATCGACGGGGCAATAACTCTGGGAACCATGGGTTCACCGGCTCGGGAATCACGAATCACGGCGGGAATCACACACTAAAATCTTATGAACTTTTTTTTTCATAGTTACTGATTTCTCTAAACATGCTCAGCTTACGCATTTTTTAATATGCCAGTATGCACAAATTTCTTCATTCTGGCGCATTAAAAAATGCGTAAGCCGAGCATGTTTACAGAACTCAGTAACTATGAAAAAAAAATGTTTATAAGCTTTTAGTGTGCAGGAGAAATTCATAGTTGTTGCCCCCTTCAATGCAATATGAGATATGGAGCGGGGAGCGGGGTCTTACCTCTGTCAATTCAAATGTGTACATTGTATACTTTAAATAAAGCGTAACATGACATGTATACTTTAATTAATGTATACATGTCCGTACGCCTTTATAACCGCGTACATGGACATGTACGCAGTAATTAAAGTATGCCATGTACACTTTATTTAAGTACACAATGTACGCATTTGAATTGACAGAGTAAGCCTTTCTGGGACTTGTACTTACTTTATCCTGCTTACTGCCTTGGTGTTGATGTGCCGCGGCGGGTACGCTGCCCTGCCCTGCTCAGATCCACTGAAGTCACTGATTCTGTTGCACTTTTCCCTCACGGATGCACTCTCCGAAGACACTCCGAGCGCGCGTCCGGGACGGTGGTGTGCCAGGACTCGCCCGGAAAGCAACTGACTGGGACTCCTGGCAGTCGGTGACTGCCTGCCGCTAGAGACCTGGGGGACTCTACCCTGCCGCCGGCACATATGTTCTCTCTGGGTGCGTCCGCCAGGGTAGGAACGTGGGCGGCCCGGGACGCGTCCGAAGACCAGATACAGTGCGAAGGGACCAGCGAGTAAATGCGGAAGCAGGATGGCCCCGGGAGGGCCCGGGTGGCTCCGGCCCCAGTCTGCCCCCATCCCGCCCCCGGTCTGCCCCCC